CATAGCACATTTTATAAGCTTACTTATAAAATGACCTTGTCATGAAATAAGTACCATTAATTTATTCAAGTAAACACACATCTAAAGTAGCACATTGCATTACTCAGTATATCACTATCATCTGCTTTGTATTCTCACAAGGCCACTATTAATTGCATGCAAAGTTCAACTACTCCAAAGGAAACCTAAAAATGTTAGTTTCTCACAAAACCACAGATATATGAAAACAAAAAAAAACCAGGTTGACTTTTGTATAGAAAATACAACACTTTTTTTTCCCCAATTTCATTTTAAGAGAAAGGGTGTTCATTTTCTGTCTCAATGCATGGGCTCCGTCTACGCAAAAAGCAGACTAAAAAACTGGTCACTCTTCAGACGTTAAATAGCTTACAACTGGGTAAAAAAAGCAGTTAAAGGACTATTTCTGCCATCCATACTCTCACTGAACAGTAACTTATTCTACTTCCATTGATTTCAAAGATGTCTCACAAGTCAGTAGTCTTTCAAAATTTCACTGCATCCAAAGTAAGTGCCTCCACAGAGGGTAGACAAATTGGGCACAGAAACTTTCAAATAATTTCACGATTGCATTTCCAAGTGCCATGCCACCCATTGTATCCACAAATGTCTAGAAGTGTCCTTTTGCTCTGCAAAATGATTTAGAGCACCCAAGATTTTGTTCAGATCTGTCAAAAGGAGGTGCAGAGAACAGGAAGACCATGAGCTCCAACAACAGTTCTGCTAGTTCATGTGCCATACTACTTTGGTGCATATTCAAAATGTTTGTGATGTGAAATTGAAAGGTTTATACATGAATTTTCTTTCTGTTCTCATGTAGCCTTAAATTTGCTTTGCTCCATGGAAGAGATTAAAGTATCTGACATTGTTTGGAAGTGACTTAGCTACTATTTTAAGATGTTACGCTTGGAAGGTGAACATTTTGCAGCAGTCTATCTGGGTTTAATGTATGTTTCAATTTACAACGGATATATTTTATAGTATTGAACAGTAACTGATATATTTTATAGTATTGAACAGTAGACTAAGGAGCCTAAAACATGATGCATTTTGAATATCAAAGTATAATTTGGGGCACACCAGTGTGAAACCTTATTGTGTATTTGATTTTCTGGAAAAAAATGCATTTAGGAAAACTAAGATTCTTATGAACAAAGAACATTAATAAATACAAGACTTTTGTTTAACTGAATCTAAGAAAAACACTGTAAAACTTCAAATGCATAAGCTTGCTTTGAGAATGTATTGTATAGCAACATGAAGTATTTAAGGTTTTTGTAAAATGTGTAAGGATAATTGCTTCCATTTACTGTGGATACTTTTCCGCTCTGTCAAAACCAGTAAGCAGTTATTGTCCGCATTACCAATAAGGTGCAAATTTCCCATCAACTAGGTCATGCTGACATTTCTTTCGGGGTAAGTCTTAAATAAGTTTGAAAAACAAAATATCAGGGCTTTGCGAGTAAAGAACTACGCAATGTCAAATGAGACTGAGCTGCAAAGGGGGAATTCTGTTGTTTGCTTTTTGCAGAGCTAAAATTTGGAATGCACTTGCTTTTTAGAAGTGCTGAGCAACTTCGATTATTTCTTAAGTGGTGAGTGCTCCAGCATCTTCTGAATAAAAATGAAGGACTAATTCTCACACTAAGCTTCTTTTGAGCTAGTCTAAGAGAAGTTCCTCTGATGATGCAAACCCCAAAGCTCTGTTAACATTAATGGAACTATGCTAATTAATACCAGATGAGCAGGACTTGAGGACCTGTTTTTGACATCCAGGAAATGCAAAAAGGCCTCGGTATAAATAAAAAATAATTCCACATGACCAAATCCTTGTATCAGTGAATTCACAAGAAGTTTCGACATAGATCTCAGTAGGGTCAAAATTCCATGCAGAGTGGCTACGTAAGCTCTGACATCAAACATAGTAAGGTTTTGAGGTTGTTTTTTTTTGATAAGCATGAAAGATGAATCAGTTTTACCAATAATACACACACACACACATATACACACACACATGCATGCACGCACACACGTATACATTATATGTATGTCATATTCTTTTTATGCATGGTTCTCAGAAAATACAGCAGATGATTAAACTTTACACAAGTATTCTTTAAAAATTTAGTAAAGAGAACTCCAACTAGATGCAAAGCATTAAAAGGGTGGTGGGTTTTTTTGTTTGTTTGTTTGTTTGTTTGTGGAGTTTTTTAAGTTTTCAAGTTACTTAAGCTAAAACTCTTGCTGACCTGGTCAGTTTGATGACAGATGACAGTTTGTCATCTGAAGTGACACCTTTACCTTCTGAAGTAAAAACAGATAAATAATTCATACCCATTATCTGGAAAGAGCCAAGATGAAAAGATGCACAACTACACTTGTAACTTTTACCATGGTATTTTTAGGATTTACTTGAAAATGCATGTCTATACATCAGTCCTGTACAGATTCCATGGATGCTATAACAGCAATAGATGCAGAAGACAAGTGGGAAACAAAGCTTTTCTCTTTTGTTTTGAGAGAATTAACTTTAAGAGTGGAGAATGCCAGGATATTAAAGCTTACTAATCACTTAAAACACAACGCAAACATTAATTACAGCTGATGTAAGTAAAAGCTAAATACACTCTCAGGATCTTTCAGATTTTCTACGCTATACATTTGAAGACAAGGTATCAATGGCATGCATCTTGAGCATTTAAAATGCATTTCATGGGTTTGTCTTTATTCTGATGTTTGAACGCAATTCAGACTCTTTACTTTCCCTTCCCTTGGCATGGTCGGAAATTTCACCAGTGTTCACATACCCAGCAGTTACTCTCAATGCTTCGAAGCTCCGTGAGGTACATTCACCTCTTGTTTACTTTTTGTCTTCATCCAGTATTTGCTTCTCCTGAACAGAGACCACCAACGCTGATGAATTCTTGAGGCTTTCTGGGGTGGGCACCCAGCCACCTGGCACCCGACAGAGACCACATGTTGCTGTACACACGACCTTTGCCAGGCATAAACACAGTTCCTTATAAGTAAAAGGCTAGAACACAGGTCCATGGTATGACTTTGCTTTCAAGTTTTATATACAATATCGAAGAGTACGTTATCTGTATCCATTTCTGCATTTTATGTCAGTTCAGAGAACTCCATCTGAAGACACCAAGGTAAGGTAGAGGACACAGAACTTAAATTAAGGATGCAAAGGTATTTATGACTTTCAATGATTACACATAGTTGGAGGCATTTGAAAGAATCTTTTTGTTCAGGACATGTACTTTGTTTGCCAGAGTCAGCTGCAAGTGTTAACTCAATTAAAATCCCCAAATGCCACACAAGGTAGATATTCACATAAGATACAGTCCTGCTAAGTGCACACTCTTCTTGTCGTTGTTCAATTCAGTGTTGGTTTCACAGTAACGAACACAAATTGTCCTCATTTCTATATCATGTGTATGGAGTCATGGGCAGCAACAACAGATGCAGACTCAGTCTGTCACTCCAGAAGGAATACGAATGTGCTTAAAGCTGCTTCATTTATGAAGCGAACATGGAACTGTTACCTGCCTGAAGAGAAAACCAGAAATTATAATTTTGCTGATTAATTTTCCTCTCTGTATTACTAAACAGTAGAGCTTTTCACAGAATAGAACATAGACATTTATTTTTATAATTTTGGAAACAGATAAATTCGACGACAGTTGCATAGACATTCCCTTATTGTGAAAGAGAAAATATTGTAATAAGATGTACTTTCCTGGTCCAAGAACACATTTGCCTGCAAAAGCTCATTGATGTCATCTACAGTGATGAAACAACTCTCATGCTTTTACAGAACTGTTATGTTTGTGCATTTTGGTATCTGGCAATCTCTGGCAGCAAACTTCCCTTTGAAGTCATCTGGACAAGTCAATACCAAATTGAGTTTACATCTTTGGAATAATCAAATGACTTGTCCAATGCAGTGATGATTTCCCTTCTCGGTGAGCAGATATTAGAAAAAACCAGTTAAGGAGACTGGAAATCTTTCAAGTTGTAGCTAACTTGATCACAACGTACTCTCTGGAATACACCTGGCAGTGACCACTACAGGACAAACTGCAAAATCTGGATTACCTGTTACACTCTTATGCTGCTCTTTCCTCTGATGATATAAAATAAACATCCCTGGAAGTGTTTAAGACCAGGTTGGATGAGGCTTTGGGCAATGTGGTCTAGTGGAAGGTGTCCCTGCCCACAGCAGGGGGGTTGGAACTACATGATCTTTGAGGTCCCTTCCAACCCAAACCATTCTGTGATTCTATGATTCTATGCAAATGAAGCATTCAGCGCTGGCTGAATCTTCCAGACACTCGCCAGAGATGCCGAGGGTTAAGCACAGCACAACTCCTGCAATAAGCAGCCCCTTGCCAGACACGTGCACCATTCTGCAGAAGACAGCTGGGACTGAGGAAACTCATTTGCCTTTGCTGCGCATTCTTACACACTAAAGCAAGAATGATGTACCTGATAAGACTGCTGAGACTGCAAACTGTGCTGAGTAAGCAAGAATTAATAGAAGCTCAGCTCTACTTGGTCTGTTCTCCTACACTCACCTGCTAGTTTATGGGTGTGTTTTTTAGGTCACGCTGCTTTGAAACAGCTATAGGACAACAGCTGAAGACTTGTCCATATTGGTTCTCATGCCAAAAAAGGAGAAGCAGTAGCTGTCCTTTATTTTGGAATTCTGACATATTTTATTTTTTAGCATTCAGGTTAAAAGTCAAATGCCTAAATTAATGATAAAGGATTAATTACATTAGCTGCTAAAGATCTTAGGTACAAACAAAGCCTGCTCATAACAAGTTTTATTTTACTTTTTTCCCAAGGTGGTCTCTGAATCACCTGGTATTTTAGCAGCCAAAAATTATTAAACCTATGGTAAGACTCTCAATTGTAACAACTTACCAGTACATGAAACAGTAACAGTGTTGAGGGAGAAAAAGCAACAGCTACACATGTAGATGTTCCTTTTCTTTTTGCTGCAACATACTGGGGGAAAAAAAAAAAAAAAAAAGAAAAAATGTACTCTGTTACAACAATCCTAGTGTTTCAAAGAAATAGAATGGCAGGGTTTATCAGTTAGTTACACTAAAAGGAACCCAAAGTATCAGAATTTATGTTTGCTATTAGGTCTTCCTAGTTATAGGTGAATATTAGAAATTTCTCAGGGAGGAGGGAGAAAAAAAACATATGCCATTTATTTAAGAAGATGTCCGATGGAGAATGTAACCTGTTTGAATTTCCTGTTAAGGCCATCTCCTGTATTTAAATAATTGTTTCCTCTTTACTCTTTTCTTTTCAGTAGCTATAAAGCAATGTATTATAATTCCTATGAAGTAAAAAGGAAGATGCATGTTCCATCTCCAAGTTTTAATACCTGTGAGGATGAGGTGTAGGGTGAATTGTTTGTAGCAACTAACATACTTGGTGAATACAGAGTCTTCCACTCTATGTACTGTACATGAAGAAAATTTGTTTTAAGAATGTATTATTCTAGAAAGATTAAACACTGAAAGTTTCAGCTCCTGTGACCAAACTGCTAGATCAGAACCTCACCTATTTCTGCCTTTAACAGTGGGCAGCACCAGGCATTTCACACAGTGTCAGAACCCTACAGGGTAAGATGTGTCCTTCTGCCGTCTGCGTTAGAACTTTCCCTTAATCCCTCATAGTTAAAATTTTACCCAACATCCTGAAATATGAGGTTAAATAATACTCTCAAAATGCTTTAGCATGAACTATCCTAACTTAAAATATCCCTAAGTCCTTTTCTGAATTTCAGACTTTCTTTGCCTGAGTCATGTCAAAGTAGCTTTGAATGTCTTCAACTGTTATTTCTAAGGTATATTTGATTGACTGAGTTATACAGATTTTTTTCTGCTTAAAAATCTGATAAAGCAGTATTTAAGTATGAATAGAGCTGTGAATCACTTCAGGACAACCTTAGGAAGTTATTAGGATTTGAATGAGTTGTCATTAACTTTTTTTGAACATTAAAAAACCCCTGGAAAACATAAATGCTTATATGCACATACCCTGGGGAATGTAAAAAAGTGAAAGAACATAAAAAATGTTAATATAAAAAAAATTTAGAAGGATTTAGGAGCACAGCCAGAAAGACATTGTTTTCTATTTATTTACATAGTAGCAACCTAGCTTTACACCACACAGCAAAAAACACAATTCACTTTTTGGTTTTTTATGCTTCCCCTATAGGTGTCAGCAATCCTTTCTCATAGTGAGAGATAAAGTAAAGGTAATGTCCCTTTAATAAAATTTTGTATGCAGAAATCCCCTCCATATCAATTTTTATATTTAAACTAAAAGCTCCTTTAAAGGACACACCCTAAGTACATATTTTGCCTCTACAGCAAGACCTTGCACTTGGGTTTTTTGTGTTTGTCTAAGAGCTAGAGAGAAACCTTCAGGAAGCAGCTCTCAAAAATAAACTTACATTTCTATATACGTATATAAAGTGAAACAATATACCTTATCTCATTTTCCTCTTGACCGTCATGACACTGTGTAGTTTCATCACTTTCTGGTCTGGATTTGGGATGTGTTTTCTAGGAAGAAAATGCATTAAATATAAATATTCTAAAGCTTTCTTTAACAACTCCCTAAATAATTGTTGTACGTTTCAGTTTGCTTCAGATTTTCAGTATCAAAGTAATCTTGGAAAATGTAGGCCAAATCTTGTACTCTAACATACTGGTATAATTTTACTATCAAAGCCTTTGTATTGTAGGCAGGGGCACAAGGGGCAAAAGCAGAAGAATCCTCTTCTCAAGATATAACAGGAGAACTAGGAAATTGAGGGAATCCCATGCTTTTAATTTCCAATTAGAGAGTTATCATGCTGATAAGACAGGATTTGCACTTTGGTGGTGGAATTCAAGAATTTGACAACATATTTATATTTGCATGTCACACAGTTCAATGAAGATCAAAAGAGACGTCTCTTGCTTTCAAATGCAGAATGGTTCTGTTCTTTCTGCCACCCCATAGCTATGAAATGTAGTATCACTATGTAAACAATTAAATGTAATATCTCTTACCTTCCAGTATATGGCTCCCAAAATAAAGCCAATAAGAAGAGACAGCAATGATGTCAGTGCTATGCTGATCCCTTGCAGACTGGAGCTGCTAATGAAGCCAAGTGCCTCTTCTGTAATTACAGATGTTCTTGTTAGTGAAGACAAATTTATAGCAGAAAGCTATCTATAGGGCAAGAGCACTTTTATGCACCACCTACGTAACAGCATCTTAAATAGCAGAACAGATACCACAAAGTGCTGTGTACAAGAGGTGCACTTCATACAAAATCTCACAGGAAAATTTTGACCACAAGGATGCTCCTCCCATTTCTGAAATTATTGAATAGTTCCAATACTAATTCTCTTTTTGTCATTTGTAGAGAATTTTCTCTTTCCGACATTTCACAGTTTTGGGTTTATCAATTTTGAAAGGTCTTATTTTGTAACACAAAGTAATTCTTTGGAAGAGAATGTATCTGTCACTTCATGCATTTGCTTAAGTTCCGTAAGACACATCCCACTGACTGCAGATAGACACTTTGCTTTGCCACTAATGGATGACCAACGTGAAGCCTCTCGAGCGAGGTTAATTTAACAAAATAAGCTTGACTGATTTCACTTCTAGTGTCTGTCTGGAAAGGTCTCACTGACTTCAGTAAGATCAAACCCTTGTACCTTGAAGTCTACTGGTGTGTTATTTTGCTGCTACCATTTATTGATAGCTTTTTACATTTTATACAGAAGAGCCTCAGTCCTAGTCTTTTATGTACACAAGCAATTCCATTCCTCTCACAGAAGCTGTATGCATGCTGAGACATAAAATGTGTCCCTCCAGTTATTCAGTCAAGAGCAGGATGTGAAAAGTCCTATGGAGTCACTCTGGGATCCCCCTTCTGAAATGCAAAGTGAGCCACAGGAGACTGCTAGTTTAGACACCATGCACCCAGTTTTGGTTCATTTAATGATCTGGTGTCTGCAGCTCAAATGGTGGATGTATGGGCAGATTACAGGAAAAGAACCAAACTGTAAGCACTGGAGATTAGATACAGAAATGAAAATAGACTGATAGCACTATAAATTTGTGTGACTCATGCAAACAGCAAATGTCTAAGCACGTATAGTATGATGTACTGGGTCAAGCAATGTGAATTCAGTACATTTTTAAACAGCCTCTAAGAAAACACTTTAGAAAGGAGCATTCTCATGATTAACTAGCAAGTAATTTTCAACTCTCTGAGATTTTCTGGTTGACATTTTGCAAGTTTTTACACAAATGTTCTTTTTATCTCTGAAATTCAGCTGTGTTTTCTAGAGTCATGGTAGACAGAACTAAAAAGTAAGAAAACTTATATATGTCTGTATCTCATACACAGTTTACAAACTCTAGGTTCTGACTATAAGGGTTTGAATTTTACTTACATCTGCTAAACTTGGCACACTACAAGGAAACATCAGTTAAGCAGAATCAATGCTAGATTACCGTGAAAAAAAAATCTGATTAAAGGGGAGAAGGGAAAGATAGCAGACAAAGTTCTACAGAGGTGAAAAAGAGAGGCTATCAATTAGTCTGCCTCTGCTCAGACCTTGAAACCAAGAGCTGAAATTAACCAGAGGGGTATTTCTTTTCTCAAACTGTGCATCGCAGATTAGGCATAGAGGAGGTTTGCTTGCAGAACTGACCTTCAAGAAATCTGGACAAACTCAAGTGGGGTAGGGACAGCCTGAACATCTCAGAATTCCCATCATTACTGTATCTGAACTGTATTCTCAGCACATTCTCAGAAGAAAATTCCTATATTGGTCTCATGCTCTAGAAAAATGCAACACTGATTTGCCTAATACCATTAGTCATTCTTCCCAGTGAGAGACCGCTGAGTTATATAACTGAATTATGTAAATCCTATGTGAATGGTCATGTTTTCTGGATTCTGCCCTGCAAACTTCAGAAAAAAAATAAAAAGTGAAATAAAAATCAAAGGACAAGAAAAGATTATGTTCATATAGAGCATAATTTATTTGATAACATGTTATGGTAGAGTGTATAACCTCAAAAATCCTCTGCCTACTCTGAAATGACAAGCATACTGATTTTTACATAAACTTCTAGAGAAATGTTCTGTATGCAGGGTGATCAGTGTTTGTCTAGCACTCTCATTTTTACCATTTTTTTCACAAACTTTAGAGACTCTTAGACAACAGAAAACCTCCCTTTACAATGAGGTCTCTAAAAGTGGAAAAATCTGATTTCTGAGAAGATACCTCCAATGCAGATGCTTCCTTCAGCATCTATGGAAGACTGAAAGGAATTCATAATTAGCTTTCCATGTGGGGACCTGCAACCCAGGGACAAAACCTAAATACAGACAAATTGTGACAGCCTCCCGAGCCTACTTTTTTAAAAATGACAACAGATTTTTTTTTTTTCATAACTTGATAATGTATGAATTAATTTGAAAGTTAAGTAACCCATAACTAGCTTAAAAAGCAAACAACAACAGATTATTTAATTTCACTTTCAAGTCCAGAAAAAACTCTCTGGAAAGATCTGGAGAGAATGAAGTGAGTCGTGGCACGTTTCTTCATGTGCCTTTTATTTACAGTAACATCTAAACCAGAACAGCTTGGAGAATTTTCAGTCTGGAGAACCTCCCGGGACACGTGTCCTAATGAAGAAAAAGGGAGATAAGGAAAGCAAGATGGCTGCCAATAGGTTTTATTTCTTTCACAGGGACCTTTTCCTCTGTTAGAAACTTAAGGGCTCTACACAGAAAGATTCCCGCTCCCAGTAGCTGTAAAAGCAGAGTAGGAGAAGGAATAGGAGGAACCAGGTGTATCAGTAACTTTGTGAACTTCTTGGGCAATGCGAGAGGAACTGCTGGCTTTGCAGTTAGTATGTTATTCACTTAAAATAAACTCTTTCCAGCAAGGTGCAAAAGGGGAGCAGAAGCAAGACAGCACCTCTCAGAGCTCTCACTCTGCACCTTATGGAAGAAAGCCCTAGGAAGTGAGCTCATCTGATATAGATTTATGTATAATCTTCATGGGCATTGGGATATTAAGCTGTGAACAAAATATATTTACATTAAAAGCCACTCAGCTACACAATGACGTTATTGAGCTGCTCTCCACCTTGAGCCATGTGTGTAGGTTCAGCAAGCAATTGTGGTTCAAAGCCCTGGCTTGATTTTTTTGCCATATATGTCTCAAAGGAATTTTCAATTTACCTCTGCTCAGCTCCAACACAATTACCACAAGACCTTATCTATAAAAATGCAGAGCAGCCCTCACCTGTTCATTAGGGGTTTCCATTAACTACAAAGTTGGAACAAAGGAACCAAGGCACACAAGGCAACACCAATTGCATTAAGCCATGGGTGAACATTTTCATATTGTTCTGCAATTACTGAACTAAACAATGGTATTCTTTGCTTAATTATAGAAGTAGACTTCTTCCTAAAAACAGTTATAAAGATTTCTGTGTTTACACGTTCTTTGAACTGTTCAGTACTGAATAATAAAACTAAATTATTGTGAGGAAATTACAAGCAAAAATGGAAGAAAGCAACACTGAACTTTCCATGAAAATATAAATAATACCATGGCACTAAACTGAGTGAGAAGTGTTAGTAACAGCTAGTAAGTTCAAGGTTTAATCAGAGCAACATGAGATTCATCTGATGGGAAAAAAAAGACTCCTATTGTTTGGTTCAGCCACTGAAAGAAGACATCAGGACTCAAGACTTCTTACCCTGGCACTTGTACTTTACATAGGAACTCTCTCATCTGAATTCTCTAGACTATGCATGGTATAATGATCCAGAGAAACAGCAATGAGACTGGGACTTAAACAGTTAATTGGAATTTAAATTGGACTACAGTGATCTAACACAAAGAGAAGAAAACAAACAATCCCAAATAAATTGGGGGTGGGGGTCTTTAGAGAACATTATGGAGGAAAAGATGGAGTGGGAACATGCCACAGATCTACATTCAACATTACAAGGGTGAAAACAGCACTATTGCCATTCAAAAAAAAAAAAAAATAACAGGATAATTGTTCCATTTTACACTTAGTTGGGGTAAGACTTTTGGTGTAGATATAGTCATGATTCTACTCTATTACAGTAGTTTCATTTTATTGTTGTGTAATAACAATGAAGTAATGAAATATGACTCTTTCAACAAATGTGGCAACAACATAAAAAAATAATTGACCTAATTTATATTATATACAATTTCTATGATAATTATTTCACAAATTATTTTATTAGACAATGTACTTCAGGTTTGTCTAAGTTGAATTTAGAATTAAGAGCAGTTCAAGTCATCTGACTACACAGATTTCATTAATAGATTCAAAATTTATTATGAATCTAGAGGGGGTCTTTTGCAAACAGTGAATGCTTCCAAATGGTCTAGAAACCATTAATTTTTAATAGTTTAATTTAAAACTGTTGAAAATTAAATAGGATCATTTAAAAAAAAAATTGCAGTAGTTTGTGTCTGGAGATTTTTTTTTCAGGTTTTCCCTCTTCTCCAACAGATTTCCTTTTTGAAACTTGAGTCTAGTGGTACTGTTCTGAGAACAGTACTGAAGCCAGGAGGCAGGGTCCCCCGTGCTGGGGAGCCTTCACATGGGAAGTAATAGGGTTTATTCATTGTTGTTCCTTCCAAGAAGGTAGGATTAAGTAAAAAAGAAAACTTACTCAGCAAAAAAGCCAAGACAAAACTAGAATCAGTACTGAAGACTATTTTCAGGGAGTAAGACAGAGATACCAATAAAGATGCCACAGGTCCCTCCCTGCAAAAAAACTCCAAACAAATAACTAAAGTGTAACCAGTCAGCATCCAATGTCCAAGTTAATGTAATTTAATCTGATTATGAGTTCAAACTGTCTCCAGCCCCAGACATGCAGTCCTCATGTCATTTCTAGATAAGGCTGTTAACTGATATCCAATTTTCCAATAAATTGCTTAAGAGAATGATAATCAGCTAAAACACACCTGTACAGCATATGGCCAGCCAAGCAATTTCTTTGACTTACTGCATTATTTTAATTAGGCTTTTCTCCTACTTGATTATCAGTTCCAGTTATAAAACTAGATTAATAAACCTGGTTCTGTACTCCCCTCCACAGTACAGACACAGGTGCCACACTCTGCTGTGGTGCCCTGCATCCCTCCTGTTAATGTACTGGGTCAAACTCCTTTCATCTGAACTACTCCTGTAATCTATCTGTCTTTGGCTCCAAGATCCATTCCCATTGCTTCAGGCTGCAGCTGAATATTCTTCCTCTAGCAGCGACAGCAAAAATTATCACATGTTCAGACCTGTGAGAGACAGGTATGTGCTCTTCAGCCTCCTCCTGGTGCCTCATAATTAGTCCTGGGCTCATCAGATTATTTGCAGCCAGCTCTGTGACCTCTTGGCGAGGAATTTATGGCAGTGAGACTTCTCTTTTCCAGAGAGGCAGGCTGGCAGCCAGGAGTCAAAGGGGTTTTTTGTTCCAACCTTCTACTCAGAGGATTCTGGGGAATGATGACTTAAGACATTCTCTTAATTAGAAAGCAATCAGGAAGGTCTTCAAATGTGACAGCAGCTGTGAGCTAAGAGGTAGCATGCATGGTCATAAAATCCCAGAGAATAACTAGATTACATGTTTCCAAACGAAGGAGCATGAGAAGAAACTCAGTCTTAGTAGTATCTGTCCCACTATCAGGAGCTACCGTCATGCCCACCAGGCTATATCAGGCTGCCTCCTTGCCCAGGTTTTCTGAAGCATGAGAAGTACCAGCCACACACTTCAACATCACACATTTAGATAACATGGATGCTTGTGAAGTGAAAGGGGGAAATTGTAAAAGAGATACGCACTGGCGGTGCACAAGAAGTTCAAAGGGGACACAGCCGGGACAGCTGACCCAAACTGACCAAAGGGATATTCCATACCATATGATGTCATGCTCAGCATATAAGGTGCTGGGGGAAGACGAAGGAAGGGGGGGCTGGGGAGTGATATTCAGAGTGATGGCATTTTGTCTTCCCACGTAACTGTTACGTGTGATGGAGCCCTGCTTTCCTGGAGATGGCTGAACGCCCGTCTGCCGAGGGGGAGTGGTGAATGAATTCCTTGTTTTGCTTTGCTTGTGTGCATGACTTTTGCTTTGCTTATTAAACTGTCTTTATCTCAAACCATGAGTTTTTCTCACTTTCATTCTTCCAGTTCTCTCCCCTGTCCTGACAGGGGGGGAGTGAGCGAGCGGCTGCGTGGTGCTCAGCTGCTGGCTGGGCTCAAACCATGACACACCCTGATGTGTCTGGGAAACAGAACCAATGGAAACAACAACGTGGTTTGGCTTTAATCACCATTTCAGGAACCTCTCAGAAAAATCCCCTTCTTTTTGTTCACATGGAAAGCTCCAGACAATATTTACCTTGTTGTACATGATATTACTAAAAGCATCTGAAACTTCGCTGTTTCTCTTCACCTCAGATTCTGGCCTCATGATGGGTAATGTTGAGGCTCTGAAGGCAGTAATTCTGGGCTCTCTTATCTGTCAGTGATCAGTCACGTAATACACTGCCCACGACAGATGAGAAACACAGAGATGGCTATGCCAGAGAGGATTACAGCCTGCCAAAAGTGTAGTGGCTTTGTCCTTGACCTCAACCGAAAGCACGCTGACTGTGGAGCTGGCCCTACTGTGACTACAGCAAGCAAACATGGGCACGGCACTGTCTTCAGGTTTGGTGTCAAGCTTGGTATGGACACTACTCTCCAAATGCAATGTATAGGCAACCTCTTTGTCCACGTGAGTACCCTGGGCTCGATTTAGGAGAGCTATTGTGTTCATTTAGAGCAACTTTCTTTTCTAAGAGTTAAAATGAGGTGTCTGGGACAGCCAAGTTTGGTGAGGCCATATGACTAGTGAGACCTCATGACAGCCAAAACGAAGAGACCTGCCCTCTCCAAGTTGTAGAGAGCTGTCACATCATTGTAACTTGATAGCATCTCTAAATTTTGATTAGATAAGTTCATTGCATTTTGGTATGACAGCTGAGAAACACATGGTACACCATCAGGCACAAGTAACTTCCCATTAATTTGCACAATTAATGACATTCTTTTCCTTTGAGATCTCATAACAACCAGCTACCAGAACAAAATGGAGACACATATATTAATTCAATCACTTGTACTTACTGTTACTGCTAGTGTTACTGCCAATGCTGTCATTCCTAAGGGAGCTGGCAGCAACAGGAGGAAACAAAAATGTTTTTGTGACAGCGACTCTGGAATCTAAATAGAAAATGAGCGTGTCAGCATTATGTAACTTAAAATACAGTTCTCTCTATAGAAGATGATGGGCTATAGGGCTGCTCTGATGTGGCTATAGGGCTGTTTTAAAAATCTGGCTACAGGGCTGTTTATAAAGTGGATTAAGCCAAAAAAGGCAGTCTTATTAAGAGGCAGATGTGTCTACACACTGAGCTGCTGCTGAATAGCTGTTCTGGAAAAGCAATTGCTTTAAACAAGTTCTTAGGTTATGGCACTGATCTACTTCTAGTTACTACTGGTGTGACTGTGCAACTGAATACGTTGCCCTAATTAAAAAGCTAATACCTGTCACTAGAGAGAGTAAAAGAAAAGAGAATACAAAACCTCAATTTACTGGAAGGATGAGAATGAACTGCAGGAGCCTAACTTGAGCTTGTTAAAATTTTTAAATGAAGTAAACATGGCCCTTTTCAAGAGAGGTGAGACGAATATGGAGGTTGCTGCAATTTACAACTCGTCCTAGCTTCCTGTCCTTTCAGGAGTGCAATCTTAGGCTCCTTTACTGCCTTATAAAAATTAAATAGAGCATTAATAGAAGATAAGAAGAAGAACGATGTAAAAAGGCACTTCAGGATATATTTGGGATGAAAAGAAACAGAGCAGAGTATTGTGAGGTTATTTGGATTACATTAAAGAATGATGTCACTAGGAACGATGGCACTAGTTTTACTGCCAGATAGAATTCGACTTAGAGCAGAATACAAGCTCCTGTGTTGGTAGTAATTTCAACTGGCAGTAAAAAGGAGACATGGAGATACAGCATCAGATGCTTAGCATCTCTGAAATCAAAGGAAAATCACCCATTTATATCTACTTAGATTCTGTACCCCAAAATAAGAGCCATCTTACCATTCTCTGGTGTTTCTACTGTTGAAGGCAGAATGCAGTCATTCTTATCCAACGTGTCTGCAAACTCCCTGTAGACCTCAATGGTACTATTAAAGTGACTAAAAAAATCCTTAGGAACGAAGTGACCTTCTTCATAAAGGTGACCATTTTCTTTTACAAAATCCTAGGGTAAAATATAGAATTCAGCTTGAAAGAAGGCCAAGAGAGATGCTCATTTCAGCACCTCAACAGTTGATAAACATATCCAAAGATGACACAAAATAGTTTAAATTTTTAACCTGCAGAAGACCAAATTTGCTGTATACAATCTTCATAAAACATACAGGCCCCCTGATCTGAGGATTTCAAATTAGCTTTGCAAATAGAAATAAATAATGAATCCAGTGTTGTAACATTGCCAAGGAATGAAAGGCAGTCTCCCATCCTACACTGAAAATGAAGAGACTTTTTTTTTTCTTTCCCTCATTAAAAAAATTACCTTGATTTCACATTACTTTGCAATGTTCCACATGATTCTTCTAATATGAACACAGGAACACAACACAATCATAGCTATTGTCATAAGAGTACAGGGAAGAGCATACAATAGCTGGGATGGATACACTCCTGCACAGAAGCAGGCTGAGATCCCTGATAATGTACCTAAAAATAAGAGCAGGACTATAAACAAGGAAGCCAAATCACTCTGAGGTCTAACAGACAAGTGTGTTATGCTGGACTAAACAACAAGAGTGAGGTTCATGTTAAGATCATTGATGGTTATATTCTTTTTTTCTTTTTATGACACATTGGCTTTCATAAGAACTGTTTCTTATGCCAGCAGGTTGAATTTGCCCTGGGGTTACTCTGTACTGCCAAGGAGGACAGTGGTAAGAGCATGGGTTAAATATGTACTAAGGAAAACTTCCTAGTTTTGGCTCCATAATTATATTTTGTTTAATGCTGAAAGTAGTACACCTACGATCATTCTTCTCTGAGGAAATCAATAGCTAGTTGTTTCTCTGAATTACAGGATATTTACTTCTTCATTCTATAAAATAAAATTCCGCTTTCCCAACCACATCCCAGCTGAGTGCTTTGACTCATCAGGACAAAAATAGGAAGAAAAACAAATAAACAAAAAAAAAGAGATACATTGAAGACTGGACTGAATTCAGTTTGAAATGGAAAGGTAGGGAATGTCTAAATAGTCTCAGCAATATAATGCCAATATATATGACAAGGTTATAAGGTTATAACACTCTAAAGGAGATTGAGTACTTTAGTCCATTTGGTTCATTCTGGATGTTAAAAAGGTACAATTACAACAGCTAAGGACTTGACAAAAATAAATTTATATGGAAGATGAAATCCTTGCCCTAAAGAATATGATGGATTTTGGCCATTTTGTTCAGTGGGACAAAAGCTTCGACTACAGAACTTATTTTTTATAACTGATAGACTGGTTAGAGCTGGTTAAGGGATTAGAAAGTTAATTTTTCCCCATCATTTTCACCCAAGAGAATCAGATGTCTCTTGAGTGAGACTCTTGGAATCCTTCCAGCTGGTGTTGGCATCCAGAAACACATGGAAACAGGCCGATATCCTCTAGTCTTTGCTGTGTCTTTGTATAAAAAAGTTCATTTAAGGATGGTGAAGCTTTCAGAGCCTCACACACTGTGATACATATTAAGAGCATATTAATAGCTTCAACCACATAATCTGTAAATTTACATTAGGATCACTAGCAAAATGAGTAAGTTAAGCTGGCTGCACAAGGAAGATTTCTGCCTGCTTCAAACAGACCAGAATGAATTAATTACGTTAAGGATGACGGTTACATTTTTGACTACTTAAATAAATGTATACAATTCATTGTATATACTGTAATTCCTTGTAAGCCATTCTCCTTTGAAACAGAAGATAATGACTAGTGAGCATCAGCACAGTGTACTCAAGTGCATTTCTAAAAGATTTCAGTTGTACAGGAATAGAAATGAGAACAAATCTAATGAAGCTTTGGACATTTTTAAACTATTACTGAGTACTGTGCAACAGAAACTTCAAATAAAAATATCCAGCATAAAAATAGAAACTCTGTATTAGATTACCTTATTTTTATCAAAAGCTAGACATGCCATAAGATCATTAATTATCCTTGTGAGATTATTGATGATTGAATAGTTGCTTAAAACATCAGACATATCTGAAATATCTGAAAACTTCTGTAGAAGATAATGTAGACTCTTTGAAAATTCAGGCACCATCAAATGCAACCAACAGTGATTAGGCTGTCAGGGGATAAAAAGAGAAACAGAGAGGTAGATTAAATATCAGACTTTTGCAAAAACTGGTTAAGCAACTCAATGTGCAAAAGTAGATTAGACTGTTCTGTTAAATTTAAATTATCTTGAAAGTCTAAATTAAAATTCATCTTCTTCTGTGTGGCCAACTTTTTCTTCAGTCCTTTTGGTAAAATTTCTATTCTCACTGATACTGACATATTTATGGTTGTCTGTTAGGTGCCATCCCTTCATTAAATTCTTAATGAATGCTAAGCATCAGTCTGTTGAGAATTTGAGCCTTGGGATATACTACTATGAACCCTCTTCCATGCTTTCATTAACCTATTTTTTTTTTTTTTAAGTAACCACTACTTTAATAATTTTCTCCAGAATTTCTTTAAACCAATCTCAGTTTTCATTTCATTATTGTTAACCTACAGGACTTAGTTAACCCCAAAGATCCTTGATTTAAATCTCTTCTGAGGAAGTTTCCGTAAATGTCTTGCATGAAATCCATGTGTGCTTTTATCCACCTTTAAACTAGTTAACTCAGTTAACTCCTTCTCTTCAGCTTTTTCACTGAATGCCATTCCTGAGAACAGTTTTTAGATCTAAAAGTCTTTCTTTTCCTGGGATTTTGCCAACAAAAGGGTTCTGCACAGCCTGTCACGGTATCTGCCACATCTGTGCCACTGGAATCGAGTTCAAATCCTTTCACTGACATCTATGCAATTAGTTTGCAGATAAAGTTTGTACAGCTGTTCATGTGATTGAAACCTGGTCATTCATCTTGCTGCCTTATAGGGAGTCATTAACTTGTTTTACTCTAGATTTACAGTAGTCAAGTAAATAAAAAAGCCACCCAGCCCAGGAAAAACCCTAACCTAATATGGTCAGCAAAAATACGGGAAATGCACTAGTCACACTGCAAAACATACCTGGAAATCACTTCCCAATAAATGCTGAATTTTTAATGGTAAATCTTATGGGAATTTATTCCATATGTGAAGCTAATTTTTTCAATGGTTGAAAATGTCTCAGGATCATTAAAGCCTGCCAGCTATAAAGATCTTGGCCCAGCAACCACTAAGTATTCTCAGTATCACTAAACCAGTTTCCAATTGCTGCCCAGAGGATGGGCAGCATCCACTGAATCCATCCACTCCACCTTCTGCAACGCACAGTAAACATTTGGTGGTGTATCAGCTTCTAGACTTAATCTGATTTTACTCAATTTCTGCAATAAACCTGCATACAGTTACTTTATTTTAAAAAAAATTATCCGCTACTATCAATATCACCACTTGGCGACAAATTACTTTCTCAGCGACACAGGTGTTGTTCTGCCTTGCTGTGTAAATGTTTTTTATGAGGAAAAACACACTTCACGCTTTTGAAGACTAACCAGACTATTAGGCTTCCAGGCTTAGAGAACTGAATGTAAACACATTGTTCAGCTCCACCTGACTTTTCACTTTTGTTTACAACTCTTTCACACACTGATAATAAATGGCAAGTCACTATTACCACCTTCTGTAATTATCTCAACAACAACTTAAAAAAAGAATGAAACAGAATGTGAAATGGATGGCATTTGGCTTGATTTTCTTGTGCTTCAAGCACAAGAACAGGAGAGGAGAGGCAGAAGCAAATAAATTGCAGAAAGTTTGTTGAAACATATTCCATTCAAGCAGCGTGTGTTGTGCCATGTCCCATTGCCCTCACGAGACAGACAACGCATTTTCCTCTGCTTTGGTGTAGGAACTCGGACTCAGAACTTCTGTGCTTCCCTGAACTGCAAACCTGGAAACCCTTTTCCTCTGAGATTGTGTGGGTGTGCGTTCTCCTCTGGCAGGGACTAGCAAAAGCTTGCTGCTTCTCCCAGTAAGCATTTGGCAATTCCAGCAGGGAATCTATTTTGTTACTCCTGCAGTTTAGCATGTGCGTGACAGTCTCCTCTGACTGAACCATTCTGACCTACAAAGCTGGCTTTCACGCGAGCTTCAAGTTTTCCTTTCAGTATTATCAAGCTGCGCAATTGCTTGCTATCTCAATACCTACCAAACACAGGGATGAAACTGTTGAAATTGAGAAATGTGATGTTGTTTGCAAGGAGAAACAGAGGTTTAACTCTGCTTTTTTGTGTAAACTTTGACCAAGATTTACATTTTAGAGCAACTGCAAACCTAATTTCCCTTGTACTTCCAGGTAGTCCTCATTTAGCTTTTTCTTTCTATATCTATCTAAAAGTTTCAAGTTTATATCTCCTCTTCTGAGTTCAGCCCGTGCTGCTGTCATCTTTGCCTTTTAACCTTCAGGTTAGACTAAACAGTTCGCTCTATGCGAGACTACTTTTAAAGCCACTCAGATGCCTTGAGCTAGTGCATAATGCAACAACCCTTCTGTTTAATGGATCGGGTCAGTCTGTTCCTGTTACATGCACTACACTAGCTTCCCATCTGCTTTGCGTTCACCCTGCCTTCCTACCTTTAGTCATCTCCATTTGAGACTTGCTACCTTGGGTACATTTCCCACTTCATGCACGCACTGAAGACTGAAATCTATTGAAAAAAAATTCAAGAGCACCGTTTCAATCCTTTCAGGGCTGAACAAAAGGCATTTGCCTTATGCAAAGCCCGTGGGTTTCCCAGCTTGCAAAGACGTTGCAGAACCCAGACCAAAACCTACTTATTCAGCCAGCCCTTGCTGTGGTATGCAACCTGAAATCCCCAGAGAGGAATGTGGCAAAGTGGGTTGTGAATATGGCTGAACACTTCCTCCTGCGAAGGCATGGGGCCAAGAGCTGCACCTTCCATCACCACAACGGAAAGTGATGTACAAGCAAAGGGAATATGGAAATCCCTGCTCTGAACTTCTTCCTTTTTAATTCTTGGCCGCTCATTGTAAATGTAAACTGGATCTAGGTTTCTGGATATGATGCAGCAAGATGACATGGCATTTAAACTATAAAAAAGAAACTGCGCACTGGCAGCCAAAACTGAATCACGGAGAGAGGTAAGAGTTAAGCAGTGAGAACCACCAGGAGTCATAGCTGAAGCAAGCTCCCCGGCCTTCTTCATCCACAGTGCCAGCCTTCCCAGGAGTAGAGCGGAGGGAACGGCCCCAATCCAGCCTGGCTCTCGCCCATCAGCTGCTGTGTTCATCCCGGAGGCTAGGGAGCAGCGCTCATGCTATGGCTGTCCTCCGCAGATGTGCATCTCATCACATCAGGTGCCAAAATCATTGAATTTCAAAAAACGCCACAGCCAATCTTACTTTGTTTTTCTCTGGGTATTGGCTGTTTTCAGAAATGGAAATTTTTCCATTAGTTTTAATTATATTATATAGAATCTAGTACTTGAATTCCATAGCATCTGTTCTGCAGAATTTTTCTGTCTAAGGAATCAAGTTGAAACTGGATTTTCTAAAGTACTCTAAGTTTTAGTAAAAGCCTCGAGCTTCCAACAAAACTCATAAGAACACTGCCAAATCTGCCGTAATACCTCATAACCTCACAGCTCAGGGCCCTTCACTGTCCCACAGCTTCCTTTTCCTCCAGCTACTGTCTTAATTCTTGTTAGTCAGGACTGAGACAATGTTGCTTCTGGCATTGTTCTCCAATATCAGTAAGGGAATACTGCTAGATTTGCTACAAAGTTGTAGGATAGGATGAATTTTTAGATGTGTATCACACAAATTGGATTTTCATAATGAAAACTCTGTACAGGCACAAACACAGCTTCTTACATCTACCAGATGATTTCCAGCAATTGATGTATGTGTACAATGATTCACTCTTCAGAGAGGCACAATATTGTTCAGTTTAACTGACAAACTAGTTCTTTTCTTACTTTTTTTCTTTCCTTACTTTTTTCTTTCCTTAAAAAATATAGTACAGTATAGCATTCAGCATATCCACTTTCACCTTTTTTCCTTCTCTCCTTTTTCTTGCAATGTATGCAATCAAGAGAGCATTATTCTTAAAAATATATTTTTTAAAAAATTCAGGAAAAATATTGAAAATATTTAGTAGAATAAGATAATATGATGAAGATTTTAATACAAAATGTTATAGAATTTTAAAGAAGGCAGATGATGCTTAATTGAAAGTATCACTATGCCTTAACTATGGGATTATACAGAACGAATAATACAAAGCATGTTTGAATGAAATAATGGTTTGTTTAGTTAGTGACACTACCATTTGCTGAACTTATGGTTCTCTTCATTGGCTACTCAGTATTTGTTGTGCTTTAATGGCATTTCCACTGGCTTAAACAAGAAAGATATTCTACAGTAAATTACAAAGTACGATTAGAAAGAAACTACTTGTTTAAGAAAGCAACAATTTTCAATTGACATGATGAGACAAAATGTTAAAAAAAATTAATATGAAGAAATATTTTTCTAAGATTCTTGCAATAAAAAGGTTTTAAATAACTGCAGGAATCTCTACATTTCTTTTAAATGAATACTTGCAAAGCATATGAAAAGTGAAATATCCATTATTTAACTGTAACTTAGTCATAGGACTATGTATAAAACATTACAGCCATCACTGGTTCCAGTGGGCTGTTTTATTGGGATTAACTTGAAGTGGTTGTACATACCAGACTATCCATCTTCGGGACATATTTAAGGGTTATCACATAATCATTTGGGAGATTTCCAACCTACAATAAACAGATAATAAAAATGTTATTACTGACTACACCAAGTAAGACTTAATTTCCATCACTAAATTCCACAAAATCTATCAAATATTCAACAGAAATTTTCAGTGACCTACCAGCTGCAAAAGCTTACATACTCAGTCTCCTGTGGAACTGCTACTGACTCTTATGTGCTCAGAATTGAAGCATCTTTCCACACCTTTGTAACGTTCCCAGATCTGATCTGATCATGTTCCATGCTACCACTTCCCAGCAAAATGAAAGTCAGTAATGTGGTGAGGAGAAGTGATCTGAAGAAGTTACTCATTACTGTAGAAACTCTACTGTATTTTCATCTTTTACTGGCATGTCTTGAAGTGTTTATGCGACAATTTGTATGTAACCCCAACCATTCCAAACAGTAGAGGACCCAGTAGTCTCCAAGTCTTTTTCCTTCAAATAACTTCAAACTTCAGCAAGCATTTGAACCTAAAGATATACTTGCCTGCCTTGTGCTAAGTTATGTACCAGGACAGAAATATGCTTGAGCACAACTTCAACTTTGAAGCTGTGCCTCCTAGTAATGATGAGCACTATAATTATATCACAGCAGTGTCCTGGGGCAAAGGAGAGCTTCCACACACGTAAGCTGAGCGCGGCTCTGCAGATGTGGGTGAGTATGGGGTGTGCTGAAGCAAGGACAAGGAGTGGAAGAATGCTTCTCACTGAATTATACAATGCAATTTCCCACAGATGGGATCCAACACTACTGTGAGACGTGGTTGATCATCTGGGGAATGTGCTGAGTGGGGAGATGAAGAGGGAGATGCTGCCACAGTCTCTTGAAGTACTTTTTTCAAAAGGTTTACCAACATTATGACACTTAGTGATACAGCAAATCTATTTCTTTTGTATCAGTGAAAGATTCAATTGATATTTCTCATCCTGGTTTGAAATTCATTTAGTCCAAAGACAATAAGCACACACAAAACTCCTTTGGTGAACCCGAATCTACACTTTGTTCAGCAAAGCATTTCTACTTCTTAGGGTTAAAGATCATTCTGTTATGGCTGCTTCTGATTCTGCTGCTATAGCAACCAGCACAGGGAGGTTTTTTTCCTATACAGTTTTTAGGTAATATTTGGTTGACACAACAGAATGTTTTATTTGTTAATTAAAATTTTGTTTCAATTAAAAATTAAAATAGCAATTTCAAAATCTTACGGTTCTAGAGAGGATCAAGGACAATACTTACGCACAGTCAGTCACTAGTGAATTCCAAACATTTTTTTATTTACAATGTGGGCTGAGCCACAATGCTTCAGTTCAACGACATTTACTTTTCTCCTACAGCTTTAAAAAACCAAGTTTTATACAAATGATCCTGATAAATTCCTTTCTGTAGGTCAATTTTCTTTTTCTTTTTATACCTATATATTCCCAAAGCAGCAGTTGCAAAAGTGTCACTAAAATCCTGTATATCTATTTCTATTTACTTGGCATTTTTGGGAGTTGATTCAAGATACTACAAATACTTACAAATATTGCACTACATTTTTTCTTTCTTTAGAGCATCTAATTTATTCTAAATTCTCATCCACAATTTTTTTTTGTGTATTTTTCCTTCCTCTAAAAACATCCTGACATCACGACACATTAATAGGTAATCCAGTCTCTTTTCCAACTTGCTTTGCGTGCCTAGAGAGCTAGGATTAGCAGCACTTCAAGCAGCAAAGGTAGCAAAGATGCTACTGTATGTGCAAAGTTCCCCATACTCACTCTAGAGGGATTCAATGCTTAGCAATGTCAGCAAAAGCATCGTTCTTTAAGAAAGGTCACTGGAAGATTAAATTTGTTCCAAATCAATGAACACTACAAGAATTGATATGCATTATGTATACAATCTACTTTACTGGCATCAGAGCCTGTCAAGCACTTTTCATGCACAGTTAAAAAAATATAACTGCCCAAGAGCTCTTACAGCTTCTCAGACAAAGCCAGAGAATACAGCTCAGCCTCAGATATTTTTCTCCTTGACAGACTGTGAATCAGAAAAGATATTTTTGAATTTACTACTAAAAATGAAGATCACTGGCGGGGAGGGTGTCAAACACAAAATATATGCCCTGCCTCAAGATGAAACAACTTGTTAAAGTTCTATTGATTTAACTCCACATGCCAGATGCTCTGCTGATGGTAAATGATGGAGCTCAAAGTGAGGGAGTTATATTTGTGTCCCAGTTGGACTTCCCAACTCATGCATAGAAAATAGGGTAGAGACCCTGATGTAAGAGTGAAGGATACGTTTGTACTAAATCTGTGCGTTTTGTACTGTCTTGCTTTCCTAAAATGAATCTTGAAATTTTGTTGAAGACTAACCATCAAGACTATGATCCAAAACCCACCACTTGCTTTTCAACTGCTCAAAATGATCCTGAGAGGAATGAAAGGACTCTGTGTACCTGCTCTGTGCAAGGTGCCCGACTGATACGGACCCCAACAAGGAGACACACGAGGCAGAGAACAAGAGGGCTCTGAGCTGCCTGAGCAAAGGGGGATGGAAAGGGACTGTCCCTTGGAACTCCCAGAGTCCTGGAATGGCTTTTTTGGTTCCTGTACTCAACTCCTTAAGTACAGTGACAAATTTTGGGGCAACAAAACACCTGCATCACTTTCCTTGGTTTAGACAAAATTAATAGTTTTGATCATTATAAAGAACATCAACTGATAATCTTGCAAAGTGATGTATAGAACTAAAATAACCCTGCACTGCAATTAAAATGCACAAAAAAGTTCGCTGATTTAGTGGGGGTGTGTGGTTGTAGAAATCCTACCAGGCACTAAGAAGAGGTGAAGAACAAGGAATCTAGACTTATGTCTTTAAATTCATATAAAACTAACGTTAAGTGCTATATTCCCAGTTGTAACAAAATCTTGAACTGGGGAATGTAAGATTCCTTTTGACATACAGAGGTCTGAATATTTAATACAGCACTGTTAACATTGCATAACCCAAATATACTTTTAAAATACACTCATGGTCACATAGACAGGGAGATGAAAAAGGGATGTTGTAAAAGTGATTTGGGTTCCATAAAAACTGCTCTTTCATTGCAATAGCATAACAGAAACAAGATGACCTATCTCTGCAGTCAAGTGCTTTGAAATGAGGGCTACTGCTCTTGGAAATTCTATTATTGTGACTGTTCCGAAAATTTTAAGGAGACAAGCATAGATATTGTGGTTTTTTTTATACAAGGATCAAAGATAAAGCAAGTCCTTACAGTAAAAATTATCATTTACCAATGTCAGTGATTTCTTTTTTACTCTGAGGCATATGATGGAAATATCATACTTTAATTTTGGCTGCCATTTCTACCTCTCATTTCTCTCTTCCTCATTGCCCTTTCCTATTCTTTAATGCCTTGCATCTCCCTTCTTTGCATCCTTGGCTTTTCTGCAGGAGCTTCCACTTTCTGTCCATCATCTCTGCCATCTAGTCTATCTATCTCATCTGCTAATGAAGCAGTTAATAAAATCCTCATCATTTGGCTTAAGACAACATGCTAACGATTTCCGTTCACACTTCTTACAGCCATAAGTGGCAGATTATTTGCAGGATAGCAACACTGGTTCATTTTTTATAACCCCTTCACTCAGGAGAGTTAAATCCATTTAAAAATAAATATCGAATGTTGCAGAGAGTGTAAAGTACACATTTACAGCAAAGATGCAATGTGAAGGCAAAATGTTTGAAACAGCATGTCTTGAACAAGCAACCTGGTCAGTAAATGTTGACTATTGTTTGGGCTTCCAATATTCAAAGAAAAATCTGCTTTAGAGAAGTAGATCATGGAAGAAGAGGTGAATATCTTAGATTTTGTTAATGGATGAAACCAAAATGTGTAGGTACATTCTATACATACTGCACAGCTCAGTGAGAATTCTACTTATATGTAGGTTTGACATTCATATTTAACAAACATATATACAACAGATTCCTAATTCTTATTCAAAATCAGAGTCACAATTACAGCAACGCAGCTTTCTGCTGACTTACTGTGCTGAAAAGAACAATGGGGACAGGCTTTATTGACAGGTGCTGCAATTACAGTTTCATAATACGGAACATTTGCTCATCAAGTAATGTGTTTCCCTCCAGAGATCTTCATTAAAAGAAGAAGCAGGAGTGCAAGTGATTAGTAATGCAAAATGAATACTCTCTAAATACTTTCATTCTCTATAGGTATGAAATTATGCTCATTTAAAGTTCTCATTATTTAAAAAAAAAAAAAAACAAAAATGATTGTTCAATTGTTCTTTGCTTCTTAAAATAATTTTACCTAGGACACATTCATATGACAAAATTATACTTGAAAGATTTGAATAAATTTAATTTTACAGAAAACACAAGTCATTTTTATATGAACAGATACCACTCGAGTTTGGTCTTAGGTTGATTAATGCTCAGAAACCTTATTGTTATTGAATCTGCTCTTTCCTTCTGATTCTAGCTTCTGGTATGAGTCTAGTATAATGCTAGTGAAAATTCAGATTAACACCACTAAAACCAAGTTACATGATTTCTTATTATCCTCAATTTATTACTCAACACAAAGTTGATTAGGCAAATGGCCCATATTTTCAGGCACTGCATAGTGTGTCTTACTGATTCTCCAATAGCTTAGGCTTAGAAGACATCCTTGGTCTATATTCACAGAAAGTGTTGACTGAGGCATGTTCTTCTCATATTCCTAGAATACGATACAGTTGAGCAGAACACAACTGCAGACATGCTCAGGGGTTTCCCACCAGTGATGTAGGGGGTTTACAGTACTTGGAACAAGAAGCCCAGAACCAAATAAATGAAGACTTGGTTGTATCAAGCTACAAACAGAAGCATTTGGTAGGGAATTGTGGCACTGTTTTGCAAGCTGTAGGTGAACTGCAGTTGAGGTAGGGAAGAACAGTAGGAAAAAGGAACAGGGACATAGATTCACGTTGCAAAGAATTTTGGCATGAGATAGGAAGAGTATGAGAATTTGCCTGGAGTTCATCAAGGAACATCCTTCCCGTGGCCATGAACAGTGTAACGGATACCATGGAGATAATGAGGAGAAGCTAGGACAAGGGGGCAAACTCAGCATGTGTTAAGACATCACAGGCAGTGTTAATAGTTAGTGCCTTTGAAGACAAAACCAAGAAGCTTGGCATTGATAATGAAAAAAAGGAGGAACAGCTTGAAGGAAATAAGTAGAAGATACAGGGTCAGAACAGCAAATTAACAGACAGAAAAGGGCAAAATTATAGAAGTCAAAGCCAGAAAAAAGACTTTTCAGTAGACTGGATTTTTATCCACAAAGAATTGGAAGAAAAGTGAATTTGTATGGACAGAGAGCTACAGAAACATTTTTTCCTGTTATGACAGGAAAACCAACGGAGGCTTTAAAAGTGAACATACAAGGGTCTGTGACATGGCAAGAACCAAAATGGACACCTTTGTTATAGACCTGAATGGCTGGGGAGAGATGGTGATATACCTTTACAGTGAGGAGAAAAGGCCCAGGGAAGACTAACATTTTACAGAGATGAAAAGATCATAACCCGCCCCAGTGGAGGATTCAGGCCATATTGAATCTAAGCTGATGTCTGAGAATTTGTGATGAGACAGGAGGAAGACAAGCCAACATCCTAAGCTAAATGATAGGACTTGTGTACTATTGCTGAACAGCTAGTTTATTGCACAGAGATACAGGACTATACTCCTATGGGTGCTATGTCTGATTTTGAAGATATAGGTCATCAGAATATCATTCCTTATTTTATGGCAAAAAGCAGAAGATGTACAAAAAAATTTATAGTAATTTACAAGAGCTGTAGGGTCTCCTGAACTAGATTTTTAAGCAATATCATGTTGGAGTCCATATTGTATTTACTAAGCATATACTCCATATAGCATAAAAAAATCGTACTTTTTAGCAAAGTAATGTGATCAGTCAGTATTCTCTGTGAATTTCTCCCTTCTAGTAATCACACTGTCAGCTAATGATATTTTGCATTGAAAGTACTTTAAACCTTTTTTTTTTTTTCCCATTTTGTTCTCACTGTCAAGTTGCCATGGTGTAGCATTTCAAGAGAATGACCAACTTGCAATATAGTCAGTTTAATTGAAACCAAGAATTCTTATACTAAATTTAAGATACTAAACTTACTTCCATGTTATCCTTTCAATTCTCAAGTGGCTTTATAGAAAATATTTCTGCGTGAAAAATCTAAGCAAATATTAACACAGTCAAAACAGGGATATGGGCTTTCCTCAAAACATTCTCAGATGCACAACTCAAAAGAGAGACAACCCAGGTGTTTGGGCTTTGTATTTTCTTCATCTCTCTGTTATTTCTCTAACCCAAAATATCTTTGAACTTGCTAGATAACTTCACCCAAATTTTGCATTTGGTAGAGAGATCTGAAAGGTATGGGTGTAAGTCAGGAGAAGGCCTGTACAGCATCCTCCCTGAGGAGTGGCCAGAGGAGCTCAGCCCTACCAGCTCTGCTCAGGCTTGGCAGCAGCAGAAGCGCAGTGCAAGCTGGACAGTTGGCAGAGGTTTTCTTCCAGGACAAGCAGCACATACACCAGAACAGTCGCCACACAAAATCCTTCCTGCCTAGCCAGCAGCCCAAGGGGATATAAATCCGGCAAGAGCTCAAAACATCGCTCAGGTAAGCATCATGCCTAGGGGACATGGGAGGGAACTAACAACCACATTGCATGTGGAGAACTAAGAGGGGATATGGAGAAGGGTGGGGATATGGAAACATAGTGCAGGGATATTTGCAAGAACTGCAGTTGCTGGACTAGTCTGGAGGAAGATGTAGGAACACGATACAGAAAGTCACAATCAAATTAAAGACTAACCTATTTTTTATGATATTAGTTTTTTCTCATAATTTATCTCAAAAGCAAAGTGTGATTGCTCAAGCTGCATGCAAATTTTTGTAATCTGTATTTATACATTCTTGAAATTTAAATTGTACCAGAGGGAAAGTTAAAGCGTTTGTTCTGAGGATACATAATTGACAAAAGTTATTGCTAACCCTGTACTAGACAATTTCACCAGCCCTCCCAGGAGTTCTGTTGTTCTGTCATGCTTTCAACAGGTTTAAATCAAAGCTTAATACTCTTTCAAGAGATGAAATATTATCTTGAATAAACATGCCAATACTTCAGAATTCTGCCTAAAGGGACTAATGTGAAGCGCTAAGCATTTGAATAGGACTATACAGCACCCTCAGAGACTTATACTATGTACCACTGTATATAACAATGCCCAAAGAAAGCAAGTTAAGAACACTGCACTGGCAGCAAATGCAAGGGACTCCAAATTAAGTGTTTGATAATATTAATGCTGGTATTGCAACTGTTTTTCCATATTGACGCCATAATTTTCAGCTGAAGTCAATAAATAGATGAAGGTATGCTTGTTAAGTGCTCAGTACTTATTATTTCTTAAAAACTTTTGTGTTAGATCCTGCACTACTGCAAGTTAGCATAACCACTGACTTCAGTGGAGTTAAATACCAACTGATTTCACACAAAGAGATGCAGTTTTTTAGGCTAATGCAGTGTTTAATTAAGTATCAGTTAAAATGTACTTAAATGAATTCAGTTCTTATACGAAGCTGTGAGTCCTTCAGGCTTAAACTTCTAGGTACACCAAGTAGAGAGAGAAACAGGTAATGAGCGTAGCCCACTCACACCTGAAGATTGTAAGAGCTGTTTGACTGCTATTGCCTTGATTGCTTCAACAATGTCTAATATCATACTATTTTTTTAATACAGCATAAGCTTCCCATATATCTAAGGTAAAGACTTCTGGTTTGTTTCTGTTGTGTTTGATGCCAGTCTGTTCCACACACATCACTAACACAAAGACAATAATCTTTCATCTGCACGGGAAGCAATCTGATCCCTGACAATATTTGAGGAAATCAAGACTTTTGACAATTTTTATGGAAGTCTGGAGGGAGGAAAACACACATAAACATACACTCTGGCTTGGTCAAGAAGATCAACTCTTCAATGAACTCTGAAACTATTCTCTAGTCTCTGCAATAAGTTTTTGTTTTGATCAAGTGACAGATGTTGATGGACTTATTTTATTTTTTTTAAATATTCCTCTGGTTCTAGCACAGATTTTCTAACTTTGCTAAAAAGTGTAAGTGCCATTATCTACTGATTATTGTTTAACATAAAGAATAATTAAAAAAAAGAGCTACTTACCAATTTTGCAATGTCATTCACATCATCTGTCACTGGATTCCCGCAGGAACTCTGGGCTTTGACAAGAGGATTAAGTAGGAGTAGTTGAAGACAAAAGCAAGTGATAATCCAAGTCTATTTTGGTAAAAAAAAAAAAACACAAAACACAACAAAAAAACATAAACCAAGAAATTCCAAGTAATCTCCAAATGTGCAGTAACAAGAGATTGTAGTAATGTTTTTCATATACAAAGTCTAGATGCAACAATACTCTTCGTCTTTCATGAGGACATACGCATACCACTATGGTATAATCTTCATGGCAGGGATCCACAGAAATGCACTTAATGGATCTTTTCTGGAAGCAAGTACCTTTGAAGTAATAATGGAAAACCTGGTATTGAGCCATCAGATTACTTGTGCAGGATCCTGCTTAGGTGAGTTTCTGCAAAATTTACAGATATCAAAGAGAAAGAAACAAACTTTGCAATATCTTCATCATCAACATAAAGCTAACTAAATACTTGTCATTCACCTGATAAGGTATTTGATAAACCTGTGCCTCTAATGAGATAATGGATGATAAGGAACAAAATGATACCAGACCACAGCAAGATAAAAGGAGAAAGTTCATAATCACAGCCATTACATTGGGGTACTTAAACTGCAAGCTAAACCACAACTGGACTCTGCCCAAATTGAGATCTCAAGCAGCAATACATTTTCTCTAAGTGACGTGGCCTGGCCTCTCAGGAGCGGCAGCTTGGCTTTGGCACTACGTTCCCCTCCTAAATCCTATTAGGAACAGCAATGCAATGTACTCACACAGGCCTGTGAGACTCGGCCAGAAAAGCACCAGATAACTAGCTGCGATGCACCTGGGTGTCTCCTTGGCTACCCTGCCTGAACTTCCTCGCCTTCTGTTGTTCCTTGTGCTTTGCTGGTTTCCCACCAAGCCCTGTGCCAAGTTTAAGCTGCAGATCTTTATTTCCAGAATGTTAAAGCATTTAAGTTATGGATAATCAAAAGTTGCCTCGGGTTGTAAAGCTTTTTGTGCCAGCTGACTGAAGCTGTCAGCAAGAGCCGATGATGGTGTACATTTACTGCAAGTATGGAATTTGCCTGTGCAGGCTCCTGAGCCTCCACAAGGGCAGGACTGAGACCAGAATTTGCTTTTGCACAAACCAAAATACATCTCAGCCCCATCTGTCCCCTGTGACAGGCAGAGAGCTCCTGTCTCCAGCCTTGCCTTCAAACGCTACCCAACCTTTCAATTTAAGACCAAAACAAATCAAACAATATAGACAAAGCCCTCTAGGAAAGCAGAGAGAGAAAATCACAGATTTAAAAGATTAAGTATCATCATAGTAACCTAGAAGGGCTAAGAAAGCATGATGATAAAGATCAGTTGGGAGCTACATAAACATGATGGAACAGTGCCAGGCACTTTACCTAGAGCTGTTAAATGACAAGTAAATCTGTCTATTATATGTCTTAAATCTTGTGTGTATCGTACATCTCAAGTAAAACTGGTCATTGGCTTTCTTAGAATACGGCTTCCTGACTCACTGAGGTAAAGCCAGTGTGGGCTTTACCTGGAAAAGACAATCCAGCCTCCGTCCCCTACCTCTTGCACTGGCAGTACACCAGCAGTTACACTCACTGGGGTTCTGGGATGTTTCCCTGACGTGTTCTTTGGAGATGGAGTTCACACCAGAAATCATTGCTTTCTTTACTGGGTTCCTCAATATTGAGTAGTATGTAAAGGAAGATGGGATTTGTTCACTGACTTGTGTCACTGTCATAGGACAATGTTTAACCTAATAGTCTAATAATCAAAAAAAGTAACAAAACTTTAACTGGAAATATTTTTTTTTTTTTTGCCAGATCAACTGAGTAATGTTAATAAAAGCAGCAGCACATTTCAAATAAAACCAGAACTCTGATGCATCTTGTCAATTATCATACTGTTGGATCTAAAGACAATCCATACATGAACCTTAAAATCACTACACATTTTATAATTATGCAAATCAATAAGAACACACTTTTTTTTCCCTATGTAAATAATGGGATTTAAAAGTATAGTAATTTTTATAACTGCTATTAAAAACAAATGCTTTGTAAATTTTGAGATGATTTGAGGTTTTTCTTGATTAGTTGTTCCCTGTGTCATCCAACAGGAACTGAAAATCTGCAAAATACTGCTAGTTTCAACATGCCTATTATCCAAAATCTTTTAATTATTTGCACTTACTTACAAAATATTTATATTACACATGCCTACAGGCACATTGTATGTAAGGACTGTATAGATCAAAGACCTAAGCTATTTTCGTGTTACTTACTAATGACCAAACCTGCTGTTTGAGCAAAACTCGAATAGACTGAATTAAATCAAGGACAGAACAAATGGGATCCTTAAACAACAGATTTATAAATAGAGATTCCAGTTTTACACTTTACTAAGCATACATGAAAGTTACCCCTACAGCACTCATAACAGATTTCCATATATAATTACTTCTAAGCCAAAATGGGATTTTGAAAGCTGGCCACAGGATTTAATATCACATCATCTACTAGCATTAAATTGAAGATATAGAAAGCAGACCTATATACCAAAAGGCTTCTTCCTATTTTTGGCTCAAAAATTATTCAATTGTTTTTATATTCTGAAATCTCTTAAATTCTGAATATTTAAGTTGCTTTTGTGAAAGAGGAAAAAATAATGATTGGATTTGAAAGGATCATTCAAATAAAGGATTTAAAGTATGCGCTTTCAATCATTCTGCAAATGATTGTTATTATCGTCTATATGCCACAATCTATAATTTCAGTTAACAGTGTTTTAGAGGCTTAGGTAGGGATCCAATGTATTGAAGGCCACCCTTTCAACTGTAAATCAACAACTTTCTTATTTATGTTCTTAATTTATGATCTGGAGTGTTGACAAAGGCTGCTGAATGAGGGCTTTATCATCTTTTTCACAGTATGCTATCAAAGATACTCAATCACACTGGTTAATATTCAGTTAATACTTAAGTGGAAAGCAACAAGGGGAATACCACATTGCTAAATAAGCAAAATATTGTAAAGTCTGGACATTTCCAAATATCTGCTTTGTACTGATAACAATTCTAATCATAAGTAGGGAGAAATCATCCCCAAAAATGCAAATAAGAAAACACAAAAAAGCATTAAGCACAGGGAGAGGTAGTAACTACACAGCTAAATGGGTTTTCATTATAAAATTTCTTGCATTAAAATCATGTTAGCCATGGAGTTCTGTAGCCCAGTTTCTTTGAGCAAATCACCCAACTAACCACAAGCAAGCCACGGCTGCAGTAGGGTTAGCTAACAATGTAGAACAATATTCACCCTGGGCCAGGCTTCCCAAATTTATTTTTCACTTCTGCTAATGCTGGGATAGGAACTTTTCTCAGTATTGGCTCCTCAGGCAGTGTTCGCATGCTGCTTTGCAGAGGCACAGCTTGTGAACTTCTTCCATAGACAACATTGGTTGGGCAGTCATGGGTAGCTAACTTAATGTTCATACTTTCTGCCTTAAAAAGCCTTTTGTAAGAAGATGAAAATAGCAAGAAAAGATCTTTATAGCCTTTTGGGTTTTTTAACCACAAAGCATCTAGAAGCATACAAGCACAATAATTACTTCATCTGTCTACTAATCTATTTAGTTATTTAGCTGTGCTAGAGATAAAGTCATGGAAGAATTGTCTTTAACCAATTAAGAAATTTACTGTCAGTGTGGAAAAATCTTAAAGTGAAAGAAGAGCATTTATACAGAACATAATTCTCATTTTCATGGTATTCAGCGATACCTTTAGCCATGCAAATGACAGCGCTAAATTTGGTACTCTAAATGGCTGTGCATAAATACTGCTTAAATGCCAAATATTGCTTAAGCTCCAAAAAAGTGAGTTAGATGTGGAAAAAAAAGTCACTCACCCATGACCACCCAGCTCTGGAATAAATGAATTATTTTGGCAAGTACATTTGGAACTGGAGAGGTCCCTACATGCTCTCAGGTACACAGGAGATAACTTCAGTGTAGCTGGAGGAACCACTGAGTGATCCCTGAATAATGCGTAGTTGAAGTGTAAGTTCAGTGTGTACTCATCACTGTCTTTCAAAAGACTGGCACTAGTCTCACCAAATACAGTAGCCTATCAACTAGGGTGCTCACTAACAAGTGACAGAGGTAATTCAAATTCATGTAATTTGGGATCTGTTCCTTTGATATCTACCTTGTAATTACCACCGGAGGCACTTTCCCACCTATGATGGCTTCCTAGCCAGAAGGGGCAAAATGGGGGTACACTGGTGTTCCCGACCCTTGTTTTTCAGAACATTTATGTATTTCCACTGGCAAGCCACTATGTAGAAAAAAAAAGACATGATCGTTGCACAGGCATCAGAACGTTTATGTGTATCCTCGTCTCACACATGCTCCTCCATCTGGGCACCCTAACTTCTGGGAAGCTCCGCAGTCAACATGTGAGTTCTCTTGAACAACCTTTTGGCAGTACATTGAACAAAACGGAGACTAACTCCAGCTCAGTGAGTCACCCTGCCGGGGTGAGACACCTAAAAATCTCTGGATCACACCCTATATGCTTTGTTATGATTACAAAAAGCAGATGAATACTTTTCTAGTGACTGATACTATGCTTCATTTTTTTTAACACTGATGTGTAGTAGGGAGAACGATGATAAAAGTAAACAAAATCCATCAGGGGGTATCAGAGCGATTTATTTGGATTCTGATTTAAACACAGACTACAGAAATGCTGGTCACTCTTTTTCAGAGTAAGTTTTGGAGTGCTTTAGACATGAAATATTTGAACACATATTCAGTTACTTACAAAATGCAGAATTCTCTTCTGCCCAGTTCTGCATATAATATCTAAAATACATAATACAAGAGTACTTTGTGGGGTAAAGGGGAAGGTAATTAATGAGTTATTGTTACAAACATAAGCAGGGAAAGGTGCCATTGCCCCCTACATTCAAATAAGTTCAATGGGCATCCTGCTATCACAGCTGTTTGATCTTTTTGTGACAATTCTGTATTTGCCTTTCCATGATGTTCCCAACCATAAAACCTCTTCCCC